CATAGGGATGCAGGGATACATTGGAATGACCGAGATTATCAGTATTTATAATCTCAGTCAGTTGAGGAGCTGTGGCTGTGGTAAGATATAAAAGTATCCGTGCATTAGGAATTCATGTTTGTATTCCTAATGTTAGTATTCCTTTAAGCTTGTGCTCTCAGATTTAACAGTTGTCAGCTGATTGATAGATGCTTTTATCAGACTCAGTAACACTCATTTCATTACCTTGAATGAAAGAAGAGTTCTACAGTTGGCACAGTAACCAGCTAAGCTATTTTACTAGCCTAAACAGATGCAGAGAATGAGTTATAAAATACAGTGCAATAAAGAAATGCAAAATTTCCCCAAATAAGCATTGAATAATTCTGATGACTATAAGTGTTTTCACTAAGTTAGTGAAAATGCAAGGCAGGCTTTTCTGTAAATTTATTTAAAATAAATTGAACCTAAAATGAAGTCATAAAGACAATTTTGTGCTGTACACTTTTATTGAGTCCTGCTTACTCTGACTTGTCCAGTAACACACATTTATATTTTTAGCAGATTCACGGCTAATAACTAAGATCATGTTAAGGGAAGAGGTAAGGATGAACTTGGAGTCTCTTTACTTGCCAATTCAATACTGTCTATCAATTTCTGCAAGTATTCACAGTCTCCTAAATATGCAAATAGACAATTATTTCCACTGGAACATTACTTTTTTTCTAAAACTTTTTTTTGAATGAGCAGTGATAGGTTCGAAGATTGAAGATCTGGTTCATCTCATGAATGCATAAATGATAGGGGCTCATACATTGTAAATAACATTGGATTATGAAATATGAATTCAATGAAGGTCATTCTGAACCAAATGATAATTAATTCCCATAGAATATTTTAAACTGCGAGTGGGCTTGACATTATTTATATAGAAATATCTAAATTGAATGAACACTACATGATATAAATGTGCATTTGAGGACCAGCAAAGAGGGCAGAGGGCAACTGACCCCAAGCAACTATCACACAGGGTTTGTGAGCCCCAGCCTCAGGGCACAGTTTTTCTACTGTTTAAAATAAATTGTGCACTGGGACATCTGTTGAAATGGTTCTGCAAGAGATAGGATACAGGCAGGGACTGTACAGTGTCTGTGCTTGCTCAAAATTGTGGGGGTTTGGGTGTAGACTGGCAGTCCAAAATCACTTTATCAAAGGTTTATATGGTGTGGTGGTATTTGCAAGTGGTTGCAGGGAGAGATATGACATTGGTGTGAATGAAAACAGAGTGAATCATTTAGACCTGCACATATTTCAGTAAATGCTATCTCATGCCACATAGATTATACTCATTGAAGTTTATGGGATACATGATGTGACACCTTTGAAAGCTCTATATGTATTGTTTGCCCAGTGTCAGTGGGACCATTCATACTGAACTCCTTGAGCTTCTTGGGAAAAGAAATGCCATTCCTTAGTACTTGCCCACCTTCTAAAACTTCTGTCTCTGTAAATATATCTGTCCGCCCACTTATCTATTAATTTCTATAATGCACAAACTGAACTAGCCCTACTTATTTACACTTTGAAATTGTAAGGAAAAAAAAAACAGACAAAAAAAAAACACACAAAAAAAAATAGTGGTATAGGAAAAGAAACTAAATGTAAAGGATGGAAAAGTAAGCTTAATGCTTCTGGAGAAGGACCAGATGCTTAAATATGTATGTAAAACTTTAAGCAACTCTGCCACACCAATGTGACTTCTAAGTTTTTCATAAAAATAGAATCCAGGCCCTTGCTGGTTAGTTCAGTACAAAGCTCACCCTCGCAGAGGATTTTTCTATTGATATTTCTTTGATAATATCTTTATGAAAACGTCACATTCATTGTTTTGGAATTTTATCAAAAAGACATTATAATTTAAATTAGAGACCAGTTGACAAAAGTTGGCAACTGGTGAAGCTTACACAGTCAACTCTTGTCAATTCCAACAGTCATCACTAGTAATGGATATGAAAAGAGTCATCTTCTCATACATTGGAAGAGTTGGTATACTCAGAATACCACGGATCCTGGAACACATGCCGGAAGATGCCGTTAACCACTAGGGAAATCTTCAGGTAAGTATATATACCTGTAGGTTCATACACACCCCATCCCACCCACGGCCACTCCACTCAAATATGCAAAGATTCCCAAAGGTGACAGACCTGCTTTATGCCATTAACATCTGTAAAAGTCTTACTTGTATGATTCTTGTTTTCCCACAACAAGTTTATGTATAATTTTAAATACTGGGTATTCAGAGGCTTCCGAGAGTTGAATGTCAAATTCCAGAATGGCTCTAACAAGGAAGCATTTATGAGTACAATGAGGTATAAAGTGACATTTTAATTTTCATCTTTTAAATTGACCTTCTTTCTAGACCAGTCTTGCGCTACTAATCACTGTGGTGAATTTTTAGACACTACAAGCCAAGTAGTCTGACACCTCTGTAATGACATTTCTGATCAAATCCCTTCATGCAGAACATGGACTTTTGTCTTTAGTCACAACTCCCAACAGTAAACAACCAACGACGTATGTGTTGGACTCATATAAAATGTATCCTTTTCACCACACTTTTTTTTTCCCATAAACTCCCGGAATCCCTGTTCTCTTTCCATCTCTGAGATCCACTAACATCTCTTTTATTTTAATTTATTTGCAATACGGAGCTGAATTATTGAAGTCATTTTATTTTGTTGAGTGGGAGTAGACTTTATTGTCAATTTTCTTTTCCATATTTTGTAATGGATATACTACTTATATTCCTTTAACCAAGTCCATGTGTGTCTCTTTGTCTATCAGTGTAATTCAGAACCTGATCATTTTCCATATTCCAGGCATTGTTGCTGCATTAAATGTTTGCAATTATGTTTGTACTTTTCCTTAGTGACAATGGAATTCACAATGGACCTACAGATATTGCGCCATATGTAGATTCCAGTGAAGACCACATTTTCTATAGTCTTTTTTAATAATTATTCATGAGTAAAATGTTCTCTCATAAAAATTGGAATAGCTTTGGATTTTGTACGGCATTTGTTCTTACACAAACCTACAGAACCCTGTTTGAAGTACCCAACCAGACAGAGAGCATAGTCCTCCAATCAACCAATGAACACTTTAGATCTGATTGTAACCTGTCCAAAGATGATGCAATAGTTATGGATCAAGTCACTAAAACAATAGAGAATTTCTAACATAAAACAAGCCAGAAAAAAATAATAATAATAATAATAATAATAATAATAGAAACATAGAAACATAGAAACATAGAATGTGACGGCAGATAAGAACCATTCGGCCCATCTAGTCTGCCCAATTTTCTAAAAACTTTCATTAGTCCCTAGCCTTATCTTATAGTTAGGATAGCCTTATGCCTATCCCATGCATGCTTAAACTCCTTTACTGTGTTAACCTCTACCACTTCAGCTGGAAGGCTATTCCATGCATCCACTACCCTCTCAGTAAAGTAATACTTCCTGATATTATTTTTAAACCTTTGTCCCTCTAATTTAAGACTATGTCCTCTTGTTGTGGTAGTTTTTCTTCTTTTAAATATAGTCTCCTCCTTTACTGTGTTGATTCCCTTTATATATTTAAATGTTTCTATCATATCCCCCCTGTCTCGTCTTTCCTCCAAGCTATACATGTTAAGATCCTTTAACCTTTCCTGGTAAGTTTTATCCCGCAATCCATGAACCAGTTTAGTAGCCCTTCTCTGAACCCTCTCTAAGGTATCAATATCCTTCTGAAGATACAGTCTCCAGTACTGTGTACAATACTCCAAGTGAGGTCTCGGAGTAATAATTCCTAAAATACCTCACAAAGCAATATAATCTACTTTAACCCGTTAATGCCGTTACGGCATTCTATGCCGTCCCCATTTAAAAGGGCTTTAAAGCCGTTGCGGCGGCATAGAACGCCGTAACAGGTGCAGCCCCCAGAGCGCCCGGGATACTTACCTTCCCGGCGCTCCGCTTTGGGAGGACTGCCTGACCGCCCAGGCAGCCCTCCCCGGCAAAAGAAACCCCGGGGGCCATGTGATTGCTCTCAAAGAGCGATCGCATGGCCCCCTATAGCTGACTGTGGATCTGCCAGCAGGGGGACTGTCTGAAATGTCAGACAGTCCCCCTGATGGTGGAAAAGTAAAAAAAAAATTATTAAACATGTTTTAAAATAAAATAGAAATGTATTTATATATATATATAATATATGTATTTATTATATATATATATATATATATATATATAATATAAATACATATTATATGTAACGTCATACAAAGTGTATTTTAATGTTAATATAAGTACATATATTAGTATTAAAATACACTTAGAATGACGTTACATATATATATAATATATATATTATATATGTAATAGATATATAGACATATATTATATATATATATATATATATATTTATATATATATATATATGTATACGTATAATTGCAATAATAAATAAATAAAATAATAAAATTAATAAATAAAATATTGAAACAAAATTTATTATAAATTATATATTCATATGTAATTTCATTCTTACTGTATTTTGTGATATATATATATATATATATATTGGTAACAAAATATACTTAGAATGACATTCTATATCTATCTATCTATCTATCTATATATAAAATACAAATAACTGCAAATATATATATATATATATATATAGATAAATACATATATTTACATAAAAGATTACATTAGTATACACGTAGAATTGAAATACCTATAAATGCATATATATTAAAATTCTACATGTAGGGTAATTGGACACGGGAGTGAATGGCCGCAGCTCCGTTCGAGACAGGCCTAAATAGCAAGAATCCCGGCAGTTTAAGAAGGCATGGCGACCAAAAGATCGAAGGCACAAACAGGCAGCACTCCCTCCTCCACCCTTACCTCCTCCAAGACTCCCTGAGGAGATTCTTCACAGAAAAACAGGAGGCAGACATGCGGTCCAAGATGGCCGCGGCTGAGAAATCTCCCGCGAGCAGCGTGCCAGCCAGCCCTGCTCCCTCGCACAGCTCCACAGAAGGAGCAGATATTAAAACCATCCTAACTCAGCTACCCTCCAAACTGGACCTCGAGGAAATGTTCTCCAAAATGGAAAGGAGCTTTGGCGCCAAGCTACAATCTCTCCATGAGGAGGTAAGCCACATTGGCAATAGGGTGCAAACACTAGAAGAGGAGGGGGAAACAACAGCCCTACAAATGCATAACATACAAACTCTCCAACAAACCCAAAATGAGGCCCTAATATTCCTACAGAGGAAAATAGAGGACCTAGGCAATAGGGGAAGGCGCAACAACCTCAGAATTGGAGGCATTCCTGAGACCCCTGAAGGAACAAGTGAAAATATCCCACAAACCCTCACAAATCTCTTTAATCAGCTGCTGGGTAGGCTGCTAGATACACCCATCAAGTTTGACCGCGCTCACAGAGCGATCAGGCTGAGAGCGCTAACTAATGAGAAACCAAGGGACATTATCTGCAGGCTCCATCATTTCCCCCTAAAAGAGACAATCCTGCAAAAGGGCAAGCAAGTTAGAGACATTACATTTGGCAACTGTAAAGTACAGATATTTCAGGACCTGGTGCAATCCACACTTATCGTGAGAAGAGCACTGTGCCCAATCACGAAGGCACTCTCAGACCGCAACATACGATTCCGCTGGGCATACCTTTTTGCTTTAGTGGTGAACCGCCAAGGGAAGACAAACTCAATCTCTACACCAGCAGACGTTCCGACGTTTCAACAAGCCTTAAGCATACCCACAGACACGGTGGAAGATTGGACTGGTCTCTACATGGAACAAGACAAGCAACCACCCCAACGGGCCAAATGGCAACGCACCCCCAAAAAGCGAAGGAGACGAACCCCCTCGGGAAATGAACTGCCCTCAACACCAAAAGTCACCGCTACAAAACCGACCTAAAAGACTCAATATATCCTTTTAATCTGCTAAACATACCTGAGTCACAGAGGCATTTGCCATATATACCGCCTATTTAATGCCATGTCTATATCTACATATCTCTATATATTTACTGTTTAATGTTGTTTAACCTACTGCCATAGTTCCATGTGGCCGGAGCCCAGAAAACTAGAGGGCATCCGGAACCCCGGACACGCTGAAACTGGGATTCAATTCATAGTTAAATGCCATTATCAGTTATAAGTTATGTTAGAATATGCTAATGTTAGAATGCTAAATATTTACGTATTATGTATAAAACATATGCAGAAGGCCTAGAGTCTCGACGGGTCTAGACCACACAACCCCCCAAGAGGTGCCACAAAGAACACGCAGGATCCACATGATCCACAACGGGCTTGACACCATCTGGTTACAGCATGCACACCGCATGCACACTGTATATTATTTTCCTGGTTTACGTTTTTCCCCCCAAATCCTCCCCCCCATTGGGTATAGGTATGCACTGTATCATTTAAGTCCAATATGCCCCTACCTCTGGCCATTTTATGATGGATAATCTTAAACTCATGTCCCTGAATGTACGGGGACTTAACACACCCGAAAAACGCACAGTACTAGCGCATGAATTGGACAGACAGCAGGTGGATATAGTATTCCTCCAGGAAACACATTTTAGAGGGGATCAGACCCCCATATTGAGAACAAAATCGATGGGGCAATCATACTTTAGCAATCATCATGGAGGCAAATTTAGAGGGGTCGCTATTCTGTTATCGTCCAGAAGAGCATTCATACTCCAAGACAGTAAACTAGACCAACAGGGAAGGTACATATTCCTCAAAGGCAAACTTAACAACAGACTCATTACCCTAGTAAACCTTTATGCACCCAACAACAGGCAAGTCCCATTCATCAAATCATGCCTCAGAAAACTAGAGAATTTTGCAGAGAGTATGGTAGTAATGGGGGGCAACTGGAACATAGTCTTAGATCACTCAATAGACAGTTCAGCGACAGGCAGACACACGCAAGCAGACCAGCGTCTACTATTTCAAAGAGCCCTACATGCCAATCAACTAGTAGACTGCTGGAGGATTGACCACCCCCAGGATTACACAAACTTCTCCCAGGTAGCACATAGTTACTCTAGACTGGATATGTTCTTGATAGGACATAGACACCTGCACACACTAGTTCACTCGTCCATTGGACCGATCACATGGTTGGACCATGCCCCAATCTTCCTTATGCTGTCCCTTGAAGAGAAGAGTGCCATTAGCAACTCATGGCGCTTAAATGAATTACTTCTGGATGACCCCAGGGTAATAGAGGATTTGAATAGCGCTCTACCCAGGTACTTTTTAGAAAATATAGATAAAGGCACAGCAGAATCCTGGGTATGGGAAGCACACAAAGGCATAACCTGAGGGATCCTGGTTAAATGGGGAGCACGTATCAAAAAGGAAAGAGCGGCACAAATCCGATCTCTCACTGAAGCTATATCCACAGCAGAGTCTAACCACAAATCTAACCCTACACCCGAAGCATACAAAACATTAACATCACTCAGAATAGAACTTTGAAACCTCCTTATCCAACATAACATTGCAGCATACATTTCAGCCCACACCCACAAGACATTAGACCAACAACAAATCGCTCACTTAGAATCACCTATCCAGCCTGAGGAACTCCAAGTGGCAATAACAACTTTCCCCAAAGGCAAAAGCCCAGGTCCAGATGGACTTACGGCCAGATACTATCAGGCCTTCCAACACATATTAGCTCCAAGATACCTAGAAGTCCTCAATGCCCTATCACTCAATGATGTTCTCCCACCACCCATGCTGAAGGCCTCGATCACTGTTCTCCCAAAACCGGGTAAAGATCCAAGCATATGTAATAGCTACAAGCCAATATCCTTAATCAACCTAGATCTAAATTTTTTCTTAAAATCCTGGCCAACAGGATCAAACCACTTCTCCCTGACCTGATCCACGCCGATCAGGCGGGATTCATACCGGGTAGAGAGGCCAGAGATAACATGACCCGAATCCTAAACATCATGCACGGCGCAACATCTTCAAGAACCCCCACACTGCTCTTATCGGTTGATGCTGAAAAGGCCTTTGACCGAGTAGACTGGGAATTTTTATCCACCGCACTGGAGTCACTGGGAATGGGACCAACTTATAGATGGTGGGTGAGAACATTATATAGAGGCCCCTCAACCTCGGTCAGTGTCAACGGGCAAGACTCCCCTCCATTCCTCATTAGCAATGGCACCAGGCAGGGATGCCTCTTATCACCCCGACTTTTTGTCTTGGTCATGAAGCCCTTCCTCAGTGCTATCAGAACTAACAATAACATCACGGGCTTCGGAGCCAGGGGAAAGGAGATCAAAGTGTCCGCCTTTTGCGGACAATGTACTCCTCACCATCACTAGCCCGGAACAATCCCTCACACATGTTAAGAAGGAGATAGACCAGTTTAGTGCCTGTTCTAACTTCAAAATCAATGCAGATAAATGTGAAATAATGGGCTTGGGGTTGAGCGCAAGGCAAAAGACACTAAGCAGCAACTCATATAGCTATAAATGGTCCGAATCAGGCCTTTCCTACCTGGGCATTAAATTAACATCCACAATTAAAAGCCTTTATAAAATGAATTACATACCCCTGTTAAACGACATTATGTCCAAACTAAAACAATGGGACAAACCCCATTTCTCTCTCTCTTTGGGAGGGTCAACATCATCAAGATGATGATACTGCCAAAGATTCTCTATCTTTTTCAAACCCTACCACTGGACATAGACAATACCTTCTTCCATACAATGAAGAAAACCTTTCTATCCTACGTGTGGGGACATAAAAAATCGAGACTAGCATATGGCATTCTTACAAAAAACAGGAAAGGAGAGGGCTTAGGCCTACCTCATATGTATAAATACTACATAGCGGTCCTCCTCACTAGAGTGAGAGAGTGGACGGACACACACCATAAAAAAGCATGGTATGACCTAGAGCAAAGCTTTTCCATGGTCCCGTTGTCCACCCTACACTGGCAGACGTGCCACCTGCAAAAAATCGCAAAAATACCACACCCACTTATTCACAACATTCTAAAGAAATGGAGACTACACAAAACCTCATGGGGCCTATCCCCAGGAATGTCCCCGCTCTACCCACTGGCAAACAATCCAGACATACTAGGGGGTAGGGGAGCTCCAACACTGAGGAAAATACTAGGGAAAATGGACCCACTCATAAGTGATATACTGACAACAGACGCCCCTCTCAAAATCAAAACCTTAAAGGAGCCTGGGGGTCAGGGTTTGCTCACTGAAACACTAAGATGCCTGCACATATGCCACTTTTTGCAAAGCACAGAGCTACCTAACTGGAGCCCTAGAGCTCTAATCCAATTTGAGCGATTTTACAATGCCAAATCAGCGCACAAACGCACACTGTCCCAAATATATAAATTTCTTCTATCCTCCCAAGGGGACCAGGAGACTCTTCCCTTCCAACGGAGGTGGATGAAAGGGCTACATGTACACATGACATCCACCGATTGGAAATACATCCTAACAAAACCTTTGGCAGCTTCCATTAGCCTCTCAAGACGCGAATCCTTTTATAAACGTATCACACGATGGTACAGGACTCCGGATCTCCTACACCAGTTTTGGCCAACACTAAATGATAGGTGCTGGAGATGCGAAAGTGGGGTGGGGACAATGGAACACATATGGTGGGAGTGTCCACATATTAGAAAGTATTGGACAGATGTAATCGCAATCATAAAAAACATTCTAAAACTCCCACATTCACTGGCACCATCCCAGGTCCTGTTGGGCTGGCCACAAACCTTCCAAAACCCGAGAGCCCAACAACTGCTATGGTTGTTATTGAGAGAAGCAAACAACCCCCATATACTGGAGGAACCCTGAGACCCCCACAGTGACACAATGGATAGATAGGGTAGAAGTAATGAGAGAAATTGAGGCTTATACAGTAGAGGACTACATGGGGAACTGAATATACAGGACATTTCTCCCACCATGCCTTGCTGTACGAGAGGGATACTCCCACTAGAGTATCCTGTTAAGTGGACTATCCCTCCATACAGCAGAACTGGCTTTTTACACAAAAATCCATAACTGTAACATTATTCCTGCTATTATACCGAATGACCGTTCGGTAGATAGCTGGGGTCTGAGCGCACACTGGGAAAGTTCCGCTCAGATCCCAGCATAAATAACCAAACGCCGCACGAAACATACTTTAATATATATTTATCCTAAAAGTACCGAATACATAATTGCGAACAAAATACCGAAAGACCGGCGCTCCCGAACAGCCTGGAAGTCCAGCGGTGTTCGCGCCATTGAGTAGCCGATTTTAGTTCCAGGCACTCGACGACCAAACACCGCTGGGCAAAAGGAAAATCCAAAATGGCCACTGTCTCGTGGTCAGTAGCCGAAACGACGGCCACCCGGGAAATCAATTAACCGCCGATTGCTACAATGTTGCAATCGTTTAATGGGAGCCACACGACCCCCTGTGTGTGGGCTCTCAATCTGTACTTTATTCGTTTCACGAACAGCGTGGGAAGTCACTATTCGTGAAACTACCATAGGAATGCTAGCAGCTTTTGGCTGCTAGCATGCGAATGCTCTCTATTACAGGTATACATGGATACATACATTAACAGAATATAACCAGTTTTTCTAAGACAACCTTTAGACCTATGACAATACAATCTAAAGTGACTAAGCTTGCCACACTAAAAAATGACTAATGGCAAAAAAAATTAGAATTTCTAGTACCTTTGATAAATCATTAAATAATAGAAAATAACAAAAACAACAGAAGGAGCTTTAGAGGAAGACATGGGCACTTTATAGCTCTAAAATAAACATTTAATAACTAAAACAGAAAGATAAAAGTGATCATCACTATATCCTTAAATGTACCATGGTAAAATTCTGAGTACACTCAGTTTCCACAGTGGTTCGAACAGAACTGTTCGATGATACAATAGACGCTTCATCCCTGTAGGAAATATTGCTGCTGGTATTATCCACTTCCATATGTGTGAAGACACTGCCTCTCGTGTATAGAGTGTCAATGGAATCAAGTTGTTTGAAACATGCAGAGGCTACTGCCTAGTGCTTTTCATCCTATAACTAAGACTTAATCAAAGTCTCTTAGTGTATTTGAGAATTAGCTTCATATTTTAAAGCAGTCAGATGGACAGCAATTAAATAAATGACAATTTTCATTATTAATAAGGATTATCAAACCTAAGTGGGAACACGCAAGTATGCCAAACAAGCTACTAAAAATACTAATAAATAAATAATATATTTTAGCTAGAGTTGAGCGGACACCTGGATGTGCGGGTCCAGCGGGTTCGACTGAACTTTGAAAAAAAGTCCGGGTTCGGCTCGAACTTGACCCCGAACTTGACCCCGAACCCCATTGAAGTCATAGGGACCCGAACTTTTGGACACAAAAATCCATCTAAAAAACTCCTTGAAAGAGCTAGAGAGCTACAAAAGCAAGTAAAATGGGGGTAAGAGTAGGACAAGTGCCCTGCAAACAAATGTGGATAGTGACATCACTTAAAATAACATAAAAATACATAAAAATAAAAATACAGCTGTGACGGTCCAACCCTACCTGACCGCCTTGGGTTCCCTTTCTCCCAGTAGTTAGCGAATAATCCTTCCAGGCAGAGTGTAGACACAAGCATAGCATAACCCCTCACACATGAGCCGAGGCTTAATGCTGGGTAGAGATCTGTTTAATGCCACACAAAACAACAGTATTCATGCAGTAAAACCACTCCTGCTCTGAGGAAAACCAACTGACAGTTAAAATGGTCAGACAGAGTTTGAAAATATGACAGTTATTACGGGTTAAAACTGGTGTTCTAAGAGGGGCTGGGGGGAGAACAAAACTAAATCCATAAAACAGGGTTTTTTTTTTCACAACAGCTGAACCATAAAAAATAGCACTAGATGGAATCTTTGATTTTAACTTTGGAAGAACATAAATCAAAATTTAAGAATTCAAGAATTATCCATTTCAGAGAAGGTTGGAGTGCAGGGTATTCTCTTTCATTGTTCAAACTGAGCTCAACTCCTGATGCATGAAGAAAAGGCCTTCACATGCCTCTTTTGTTTTTTTTTTTTTGTTTTTATTGGGGTAGACCCCAAAATATTGGGATTTGGGACATATAAAAAAAGATACATTTGTGGCCTGCGGTGCCTTTCTTGCAGTCCTGATGCATAGAGAAATGCTCAACTCCTGATGCATGGAGAAAAGGCCTTCACAAGCCTCTGCTAATGTGTACCTAGTTTATACTAAGTGACCTATAGGTTGAGGAGGCGGTGACCGTGGTGGTGGAGGAGGAGGATGAGGTAGCCAACACTGTATTTTATGTTGTTGTTTTTTTTAATTGTGGTAGCCCACAAAATATTGGGACATACAAATAAAGTAACATTTGCGGCTTGCGGTGCATTTCTTGCAGTTCTGATGCATGGAGAAATGCTCAACTTCTGATGCATGGAGAAAAGGCCTTCACAAGCCTCTGCTAATGTGTACCTAGTTTATACTAAGTGACCCATAGGTTGAGGAGGCGGTGACCATGGCGGTGGAGGTGGAAGCAGCAGTGGAGGAGGAGGGTGAGATAGCCAACACTGTCTTTATATATATATATATATATATATATATATATATATTTTTTTTTTAATTGGGGTAGCCCCCAAAATATTGGGACATATAAAAAAAGACAACTCTGTTCCGTAGAGTAGCTGTTGACATTATAGTTGCGCAGGAACTTTGTTGACTCTAGAGAACATCTGGCAAATCGCACATCCCCGTGGTGGCGACTTTGCATGCGGTTGTCATCCATATCAACTTTCAATGCCAGTTTCTGCGTCTACCATGGTGACCACGGGTAACAGGGAATCAGGGTTCCATTCCATATAAGGACCTTGAAAAAAACGGCTACCACATGCAAGGATGGCAGCAGGCGCGCAAATGACCCACTCCCGACGCGGGAAGGTAGTGACGACAAATAACAATACAGGACTCTTTAGAGGCCCTCTAATTGTAATGAGTCCACTTGAAATCCTTTAACTCTGATCAATTGGAGGGAAGTCTAGTGCAGAGCCACTGACCCGTGTGTGCTGCAGCTGAAGCTCCACTATCGCCTGCTGCTGCTCCCAAAGTCTCATGAGGCGGTGAGCAGGAAGGTCGAAGTTACGCTACAGCACAGACAGGCGAGCAGCAGCAGGGTGACATGCCAAAAGCACGCACAGCTACTACAGTGAATGTCACATCCTGTTCCAAGTTGAGGAACAGTCTGGTGATGGCTTCTGGTATCAAGTACTCTTTACTAAAGCTGCATCAGGGTCCTGGTATGTGGCCGCACAAACGCTGGTGCTCAACACCAGGGGGCGTGCAGTTACCCTGCACCAGACCCTGCTAATCCATTCCGCACTGTGACTCCTAACTTCAACATCAGGCATACTGGGTCCCGGTCAATCGACTGCCACCCAAACAGTGTCTGGGTCCTGGTCACCGGACTGCCCACCTCACTGTGAAATTATGAATGGATCGTTAAATCTGGTACGAACCCGCGCTCAAGTCTATTATGGATCCTTTGATCGCTACATGTATTACTTGGAAAACTGGTAATTCTCGAGCAAATACATGACAACAAACGCTAGGGAACAGCCGCTCCCCTTTTGCCCCCTGCTCCCTCTTATGCTGTGCTGGTGCCTCTGTGCGACCAACGCCTCTTCCACCAAACTGCACACGTCACTCGCATGACCTTGATTCCATGTGGGGTCTAGGACCTCATCATCCACCACATCATCTTCCACCCACTCCTCATCTCTGCCCTCCTTGCCGGTATGCACACTGCAGAAAGCCACATCAGTTGGCACCTGTATTTTTCCAGCAGGTAAAGTCTGCAAAGGACATATGGAATTCGTTTTAGAATTGTATCCAGGCAACAGTTTTCCCTATAAACTGACCGCTCAGTTTGACTTGTGATGGTATTGCCCCAGCCAGAATTACAATATTGTTTAAGTACCTCTTAGCTATTGATCACTGGTTTAAATATAGCAGCTTGTTATCTGGTAGTTTCTAGTGTAGAAAATATCAATCTGTTTTCTATCACTTAGATCTGTGTAAGTGTTGTAGGTGTGAAACAATATTACAAGTGACCGATGTAGTAAATTCGAATCAAAGTTACGCTTCGATTTGACTCTCAGATATGAAGTGAACACCCCAAATATACTATTTAGCGCCAAAAAACTAAAATTTTTTACTTTTTAAGACTTCAATGTAAGCAGCAGATTAGCAGCAAAACAATTAGAATGTTTACCACTGCGCAGTAAGCGCCCTACTTGACGCTTCTATTTGACTCTCAGATATGAAGTGCACTGCAGGCCCCAAAATGTACTATTTAGCAGATTAGAAGCAAAATAGTTAGAATGTTTACAAGTGCGAATTAAGCACACTATTAGACGTTTCGATTTCACTCTCACATATGAAGAACAGGCCCCAAAATGTACTATTTAGCAGATTAGCAGCAAAACAATTAGAATGTTTACAATTGCGCTGTAACCGCAGTATTTGATGCTTCTATTTGACTCTCAGATATGAAGTGCAGGCCACAAAATGTACTATTTAGCAGATTAACACCCAGAAAATAAGAATGTTTACCACTGCGCAGTAAGCGCAGTATTAGACGCTTCTATTTGACTCTCAGATATCAAGTGCACACCCCAAAATGTACTATTTAGCAGATTAGCACTCAGAAAAGAAGTGTTTACAACAGCGCTGTAAGCACACTATTAGACGCTTCTATTTGACTCTCAGATACGAAGTGCAGTCCGCAAATGTACTATTTAGAAGATTACCACCCAGAAAATAAGAATGTTTACCACTGCGCAGTAAGCGCACTACTTGACGCTTCTATTTGACTCTCAGATATGAACAACAGACCACAAAATTTAATATTTAGTAGTTTAACACCAAAACAATTAGAATGTTTACAATTGCGCTGTAACCGCAGTATTTGATGCTTCGATTTGATTCTCAGATATGAAGAACAGGCACCAAAATTTACTATTTAGCAGATTAGCACCCACAAAATAAGAATGTTTACCACAGCGCTGCCAGCACACTATTAGACACTTCTATTTGACTCTCAGCTATCAAGTGCACACCCCAAAATGTACTATGTAGCAGATTAGCACCCACAAAATAAGTGTTTACCACAGCGCTGTAAGCACATTAGTAGACGCTTCTATTTGACTCTCAGATATGAAGTGCAGTTCGCAAATGTACTATTTAGCAGATTAGCAGCAAAACAATTAGAATGTTTACCACAGCGTTGTAAACACACTATTAGACACTTTGATTTGACTCTCAGATATGAAGTGCAGTCCGCAAATGTACTATTTAGCAGATTAGCACCCAGAAAATAAGAATATTTACCACTGCGCAGTAAACGCACTACTTGACGCTTCTATTTGACTCTCAGATATGAACAACAGACCACAAAATTTAATATTTAGTAGTTTAACACCAAAACAATTAGAATGTTTACAATTGCGCTGTAACCGCAGTATTTGATGCTTCGATTTGATTCTCAGATATGAAGAACAGGCACCAAAATTTACTATTTAGCAGATTAGCACCCACAAAATAAGAATGTTTACCACAGCGCTGCCAGCACACTATTAGACACTTCTATTTGACTCTCAGCTATCAAGTACACGCCCCAAAATGTACTATGTAGCAGATTAGCACCCACAAAATAAGTGTTTACCACAGCGCTGTAAGCACATTAGTAGACGCTTCTATTTGACTCTCAGATATGAAGTGCAGTTCGCAAATGTACTATTTAGCAGATTAGCAGCAAAACAATTAGAATGTTTACAACAGCGCTGTAAACACACTATTAGACGCTTCGATTTGACTCTCAGATATGAAGTGCAGTCCGCAAATGTACTATTTAGCAGATTAGCACCCAGAAAATTAGAATTTTTACCACTGCGCAGTAAGTGCACTATTTGACGCTTCTATTTGACTCTCAGATATGAAGAACAGGCCACTTATGTACTTTTTAGCACCCAAAAAAATTTAAGTTTTAAAACTGCAATGTGACAGCAGTATTTGACTCTTCTAATTGACTCTCAGATATGAAGTGCACCCCACTAATTTCCTACCCCACTAATGTACTATTTCGCACCAAAAATGTTTTACTTTTTAAAACTCTGATGTAACCGCGGTATTTGAAGCTTCTATGTGACTCTCAGATGTGCACCCCACCCCATTAATGTACTAGTTTGCAGAATTCTTTCCTAAGCTGTCCCTATCAGCGGCATCATCCTCTCCCTACACTAATAAGATTGCATGTGCGTGTGGCGGTACGTGACTCCAGCTTATATATAGAGGCTGGATCACATGCTGCACTGGCCAATCACAGCCATGCCATTAGTAGGCATGGCTGTGATGGCTTCTAAGGACACACGAGTCAAACGCTTGTTGATTGACTGCCCTGCAGCCCTTGAAAACACGCCATTAAATGGCCGAACACTTTTCAGTTCGGGTTCGCTCAACTCTAATTTTAGCAAATCAATATCTTTAAAATTCTTAAATTTTTTATATAATAAAATACGAAACCAAGAATGAACAAATAGTGAGAATTGCAAGGTAATTAAAGTGAACACAAAGATACTTTCAAATCTAAGACCGAAAAGCTGAATTATATATATATAAAAATAAAATATTCAAGACATTTATGTTTCTAATTGGCAATTGTGATAAAAAAAATAAAATTCACTTTGAATGTATTTGTTACTCCTGACAATACTTCTTACTTTAGTATATAGCCATGTAAATGTTTATATGTAATTGTATTTATTACTTTAGTATCCACTAAAATAACAATACTATCACTGATTAGTTAGTACTTATTGATAGCAATAAGTTGACTATATGTCTGTCTATCTAAAGCAAAATCTAGTTTATGGAAACTATAAAGAAGAAGAAGGACTATATAGAAAAGAAACACGGTTGAGGAGATACATGAACTATAGTAAGCTGAAATAATGATGATCAATTAGTGCTGATGTAAGAAGGTAACATCAAAGAGTCTTACAAATTTACTGAAATGATGGATGGTCCTGATGACTAGGAGTAGAGCATTCCATAGCTTTGCACAATGCCCCAGGTGGCCAATCTCTTTGTTTGACCATCATGAATCACTTGACTCGGATATTTGCTGCTGTTCAATAACCAATATGGCAAGAGGAACAATTACATGCATTCACATTTATTTGGGTCCACTGTAGTGGAGTGATCTCTAAAGTATAAAATATGAATGCCATTTTCTTTCTATTTCAATTTGTAAGTATTGTTCCTTGACCATGGACCATGTTGCCATTTACATCTCTTGTTATTGTTCTCCAGCTTATTTGTCCTCCATCTTAATGAATTTCCATCAAAGCCTCCTCAGACTGAAATGTTGATGTAGCTCTCATGCTGTACTACGTTTTCTTAATAAAGTAGTTGTACATCATTAATCAAAGACTCAAGAGTGCTGACTCAATGGCACCTTTACTACTACGGTCAAGTGTAAGCCCCACAGCATTACCATTTGAAATCCAGAGTGCAAAGTACAAATCAATTGTATCAAAAATACATTTTCCTCTGATTTACCCATTATAAGCTGACACAAAATATGCAGCTGGTATAAAAGCCCTATATTGGGAAATCACAAAATGTAATCTTACATTATTACGTTTTTATACATGCGTGTGTATATGGGAATAGATAGACAGATGAATGTACAGAAAAAGAGATGCCCTGTGTACTTTTCACATAGCTATTTTATTACCAATCTCTAACCTTTTTTTACATTTTCAGATTCACATAATGCAGAAATAAAAATGTGTTTATTTATTGAATGCAGCAATGCCCTCCCCTAGAGGTTTGCCATGTTTTGCGATGTTACAGGTCATGTCCATTTTAGCTTCAATGCTTGCACATTTA